AGCAAAGTTGGCCATATAAAATATATACAATTCAATCTGTTTACCTTAGGCGCGGAGTGAATGAGAAATACAATCTCTCAGTAAATGTAAGACGTAAATAACAACAAGGAGACGTAATAAGTCAAACGGCTCAATTCATAAAACTAATTTTCCCCAATTCATAAAACCGAACTGTTAACTTCTGCCTAAATTATTCAGAAAAAATAATCCAAGGTTGAAAAAACTGAATTTTTTTAAAAAAAATTGATATTAGCTTTTGTCGCTGTGGGAATCGAACATGTACCAACAGAAAGAATTCACATTTAGGTTTCATCTTGAGTGCAGAGACTAGCAGAAGACTCACAGAAAAATTTGATCATAATCTTAGCTTATAAATATTCTAGTGTTACAAGAATATTATTTCAGTGTATTGCACAATGTTGAATAAAACTAAAACTTGCCACTAGCGGTAGTCCTGCAAAGGTCACTTACTATTATTACTATCCTTGTAAGCCACTTACTGCTATCCTTGCAAACTTATTTTTTCACTATTAAATCCAAACACTCACCAACATCATCACCATCATTTCAGACTGTTCAAATCCACTGCTAAACATAGGCCTCCCCCACAGACTGCCACGAAGCAAGATACTGAGCCACCTGCATCCGTCGACTTACCTCACATTTTCACAAATACCCATTGAAGTAAGTTAGTAAGTAACATCACGTCAAAGTACCCAACTTCGCATACCAGCCCAATTTTTAAAAGGCTGTCAACGCATCTGCAACCCTCGAGTGTAGCAGATGTCCATGGGCGGCGGTATTCTCTTAACATCAGGTCAACCGTCTGCTCGCTTGGCAACTTTTCACATAAAAAAAAATACCAGTTCAATACACCTAAGCTTAGGCCGACTCATAATGACTAAATAAAATCCCTCTTTTCTTAGCTATTTACCCGCTTTAGCTTTTTACGCGTTTAAGTCACCGTAGCTTTCATTTCTTTTTCTTACATAATTCTGTTGAAATTAAACCCCATTCTAATTTCGCAATATTACAATCGATCACTCAATGTCACATGTCACATACCTCTTTATGAAAATGAATCTACGTCACCAGACTGTTTTGCTTTTATGGTTATTTCGCTTTGAATATGGAGTGTAGAAAGGATACTTTCAAATCTGAATTCTAATACAAATTCATAAATTCGATGATATTAAGACTTTTTAGAAGTTATACTTCTTTTGGCGCATTACGTAAAAACTTTGAGAGTAAAAATTTTACAATAATGACAGCCAAAGAGCGAAATTAGAACTTCACGGAATTATTACTATGGCGATCAATAACAACAACTTTTTGACATAATATAAAACAAAGTAATCCCGCTGTCTGTCTGTACCCTTGGAACCCGTGTGGATTTTGATGCGGTTTTCTTTAATAGATAGAGTGATTTAAGAGGAAGGTTTATACGTATAATTTATACATAATATAGTATATAGTAGAGAAAAGCTTATAATTTTGAGGTTTCTAGTGCGATGTCGAAAACAAACATTCAGCATTGCACCCGTACGAAGCCTGGGCGGGTCGCTAGTTTCCTATAATTCCAAGTAATTTAACTAAACCATTAACAATTACTTTAAATGTCTTTTTCACAAACAAAAAGTATACCTGCACGCCCGTGCCAAGTCACCGTAGCTCTCATTTTCAAAAGAAATTTAATTTTAATCGCCTGATTAAAATTAAATTTCTTTTTCTTTTGTTACGCTAAATAAGTATTGCTTCTTACGTGTAATAAGTTAGCACATACTTGTTTTTGTTTCTATGACGACCGCAACTATATCAGTCTCACTTAATCACAGCCAGCGTGTTTCGGTTATCGGGCACGTCTTTTAGCGTTACGCGTGAAAACAATTGAATTACGCCTGCGACGCGTCGCGACCGGCATATATGTGCACCGTATTTTTCGACCACCTCGCCCCGCGTTGCATGCAATATGCATGCGCCGGATTTGCATATCAAACCAAGCCGGAGACAAAACAATGTGGGCAAAACAATACGCGGGTCCGATTTATCTAACAGTCGAGCACATGTCCGCGCACCGCTCACAAAGGCTTAATCGAACGCAGTTTAATAAACTAGAGGTTTTTCACGCGCAAATGGCAGCCGTAAACGACGACAATGGCCCCGAACGATACGCCAAACGATGGCTAAAAGCCCGCGTGTTGGAAAATTTTCGGGGCCACATTAGCCGTGAGCGTTCGGAGAGCTTTTCTTATTGTCTGACGGTGTTTACGTTTTCAGTTTTAACGATTTTGTGAAGTTCTCCGGACACGGAGGTGACGGAAAGCGTTTTGTGGATATGATCCTATTTTTAGGGTTCCGTAACCAAAGGGTAAAACGGGACTACTATTACTAAGACTCCGCTGTCTGTTTGTCTGTCTGTCCGTCTGTCAACAGACACAGTTTTACACAGTTTTAAAAGCAAAAAAAGTTTTATTATATCACACACACTTACAAACGCATTCATAGTAATTGTAATATTAGTTCGATAAGTGGCAAAGATTTATTGGTCTAAAACTTGATTTGATATTTGCGCTTCACATTTATGTAAGTATCTTAGAATCTCCAGAGCCGCTAGAAGAATTCTGAGAATGCCTCTAGCGGCGGTCTATCGAGTGTCTGCTTCTGCTGCCATATTCACTGAAGTTTAGCGAAATTTATTGATACAAAGGACAGTACGCAATAACGTCTGCTGATGTACAGCTACTCAAGTGAGTTGATGGAGGATAGAATTGTACTATTGACCACGCAATGTATTTCGAACTTGGCAAAAGCATAACGCACGCGGATTTTTGTCTTCACCGAATGTACAATCGAGTACCGACTTCATTGATTCTAAACTCGGACGCGCCTTTGTGCGGCGGTCATCGCGAAAACACAGAGAATCGTTAGAGAAATTGAGCGATGAAATTGCGGTTGAATTTATCTTCTGCGTCTAGTACTTTTTTCTAACCAGTTTGTTATGTGTATTTGTATATATTATGTATGTATTTGATTTTTGATTGATTCAAAAGTATTTGAATAGGCTTAAATAATAAACATATGTATTTAAAATAGCCGTGATAGCTCAGTGTCCGGGCGCTCACCTTTAATTCAATATATACTCGAGTAACCTGAGTTCGATCCACGGTGTCGGCACCAGTGAAGTTCTTAACATTAAGTGCTGACCTATCACGTGCTCCACGGTGAAGGAAAACATCGTGAGGAAACCTGCATGTTTTCGAAATAATTACAAAAAAAATAAATTTCGAAGATGTGAAGTCCGCCAATCGCCAGTGGGGCCGCGTGGTGGACTATGCCCTGATACCCTCTGTATAGAGGAGGCCTTTGCCCAGCAGTGGGACATGTATAGGCTTTTACTTTATATCACTTTACTTTTACTTTATTTAAAATAAATGTATACACATCATTTATCCTAAAATAAGTCCGAAATTTTACTTTAAAAATTAACGAAAAATTTAACGACAGATTTACTTTACTGTTATTAATTATGCTCAATGAAAACATATTGGTTTTTTTATGCAAAAGTGACTGGTGGCTACACATTACGCAATGCAAAATGCGTTCCGCTGTGAACACGTATTACGTGTCATTTATCTGTTCAAATATTTTCACTGTTATAAATTTCAACAAGCAATAAATTAGCTCTCCACAACGGGTCGAGTTTGTCGCTGCTGGTGAATTTTTTCTATAGAAATTCAGAGCATTTACAGGATAGGAGCTTTCTGCCTTTCCTCCTCGTGAAAAATTTGCGCGAATGAAACAGTAGTTGTAAATTTTGTGCAAGCGACGCGATCGAGCCAAAGTTGGAGAGCTCCCCTTTTCATTCTTTTAAGTGAATTTTTAGCACAATTGCTTAGAGCGAAACTTAAAACTGGGTCGGTGTAAATGGGCGAGCGGTGTCAAAGCAAAAAAGGTATTTCTCCCTTTTCACGTGGAATTCTTTGTTAGCGTAGATTGCCCTTTAAGGCTTAAGAGGTTCAACAACATCGGGCTAACATGAGAAGCGCCTACAGTTTCATTCCATCCACAAATTGTCGGTATTGCCAGTTTCTTATTAAAATAAACAAATGGAAATGTATCAAAGAAATTTTTAACAGTTCTCGGAATATCTTCTGAAACTACTTTTCAAAGCTCGAGTCCTGCTTAAAGGCACGAGAATTTCTAATGTAGTTTTCTCTTTGTCCTGTGTTAATGTTTTTATTAGATTTAGATGTTATTAATTTTATGTTTATGCCAGCGAGAAATAAAACATCTTTGCTTCTACCAAATCTACTTTTTAAACCTTTTTATTAAATATATCTTTATAACATTTTTTTCTTTATATTTTGTAAATGTTTCTAATATAAGTTATGAAAATGTTAGAGGTGATTTTCCTTTCTTACTAATATACTACTTTCACGTTTCGTGGGGGACCACCTTTTTTTTTTGGCATTATATCTACAATTCGTATGGTGTTGTAGTAGTCCATGGGCGGTATTCACTTAACATGAGGTGATCCTCCTGTTCACTTACCGAGTTTAATAAAAACAATTTAAATTTTCTAATCTCAAATTACTATTAATACCCGAGTTGATAACTTAATGTAACGTGTTTGATAACTTTGGTTAATTGCGTCTATACCGTACGTATGTAGCATTAAGAGGTACCGTAAATGTATCGAAATTAAGATTGACCTATCGTTTTAAATGAGGTATTACGTTATTATTTATACTTCTAGTTCAGTTTTGCTTTCGGTGGCAAGGCGAAACTTAAATTCTAACTTCTAAGAGACGAGGATGGTGTGTCCAATAGAAAAATGCGTAGCGTTACAATAAACAAGTTGAATTATAAGCTTTAAAATGTAAACAAAGTGTGATACATTTAGATCAAACATTCGATCGATCACATTTATGCAAAATACTATATCTGTATCTATATCTGTATAATACATGAAAAAATCTTTATAGCAAAATACGACGTACCTGGGACACTGGCGTGTGGCGCTGTCCTCTGCAACTGCATCGACTATCGCTCGCTCTACGCAACATCTCTTTATCATCCACTTATCTAATTAGAAACGTTGCGTGCACGTACACACTTAAGGGCAAACCCATTCTGCTTTCGCAAGATTTGTTTATTTTGTGCAACGATTGGCCAATACTTTCCTTCAACACGAGAATTTGCTTGTCTCAGACAAAGTACAAAAACTAATTTTATTATGTGAAAAGTTGGAAAACGAGCAGTTTGGTCTACTAATGTTAATTGATTACTGACGCCAATGAACATCTATAAAACCAGAGTGGTTAGAGATGTGTTGTCAAACTTAAAAAACCGGAAAATTGTGAGTCGGACTCCCGTGCGAAGGGTTTAAAACGGCAAAAAAATCATGTCTGTAGTATAGGAACCTCACTAAAACATATGCTGCTTTTTAGTATTTGTTGTTATAGCGGCATAGGAAATACATCATCTTTGAAAATTTCAACTGTCTAACAATACGGTTCATAATTCAGACAGCGGAGTCTTGGTAATAGGGTCCCGTTTTACCCTTTGGATAGAGAACCTTAAAATAGTGGGCCCGGCTACCTCACTGACCAGACGAAACGCGAAAGTATTATATATATACTTTCACTTCGCACCGTTCTTCTGTGATGCCGAGGTACTTCCCCGGACGGACCTGCCTATTCGAGCAACGGTCGAAGACAAAGAAGTGTTATGGTATTCAGTAACAGAAAAATAATATCTGATACTCTAATAATGGAGCACGGAAAATATTAAGGCACCATCCCCTTTCTTGGTGTTAGAAAGGTAATCTATATAACTTAATGAGAACCATTAGTTACGTTGGTATCTGTCTCTATTTATCATATATCACAGTGATCACATGAGGTAAGACCATTATTAGCATTAAATATAGAATGATCAAATGTAATTAACTCTGTGTATGTTTTGTATTGTGTAAATTAAGCCGAACATTACATAGTTTTTGCGTAGGTAGTTTATTTTTGGCACAATTTGGCAAGTTGAAAATGAAGACTTGTCAACTTGGTTAACGTCGTACTCGGAAAGACTTGTGTGATCAATTGCTTGCTAGTTTAACTCTTAAAATACTTAAATATTCACGATTATCACAAAAAAAAAAATATTTTTTATCTACATTCCAATTAAGGGTAACAATTACGGAGAACGAATTTTTAACTTTAACTCTCTTCGAAAAAAAAAAAAAAAAGAATTTGAATCATTGTTATGATCCAACTTCTTTTTTTTTCAAAACTGTTTATTACTCTTGTCAATAGCATATAGATATTTTTATCTGTAGTACTGTTCCCGCCTGTTGATATTTCGCTCCAAAAAATCATATTTTTCTCTGACAAAAGTAAAATGGTTGAAAGTTGTTTAATTGTTTCAACATTTTAAAAATAGAAGAGCTTTTAAAAAAGGAATCAATGAGCACTTTCAGTCGCTCACTGTGGAGCATCAACGTATGCTTTTGTCAAAGCTGGCTGCACAATTAGTTTTCCATTCTTTGACATCGCTTCACTGCTACGTTTTACCGGGCACAGTTGTTTAAATTTGTAGGCAAAAAAACTACAGCAACATTTAAAACTCAGCCACTGTCCCTTTTGTATTCAAAGTCAAACCTCCCTTTAGACATATTGAGAAAAAATGTTTTTATTAATTCAGAAGGAATGGATAGGACGATCCAGAATTAAATCTCTGGTTGTTTTTCAATGCAAATTTACGTTATGGTAATTTAATATACAACATTAATGTGTATTAACAAATGCCATTGAGAAAGAAATGTCGAGAAAGTAATTCTTTAAAAGTTAGAGATGTCATGTACAGTAATAATTATGGCTCTGTTAGATGCTAGAAAAACCAAATGATATTTGAAAAAAATAGGAATGTACGCTGTCGATTGTTGTTAGTTTGAAATCAATGAAAAAAAACAAAGAAAAGCACGAAGTGAAATATTAAATAAATATCAAAGCTATCTTTCCTTAATCCATGTCTAATATACGAAATACACTTACGTTTCACCGGCTATCGTTAGTGCGAAACGTCTAAAACCATGAATATTCAAAGAAAAGTAGGGTTGGGGGCTTATTTTTTTCGAACGCGACAGCTTCGACAATTTATAATGTGAAAAGAAATGTGAGAAATGCGCTATTAAGCATTATTTGCACATAAAGCTGTGTATTCCGCGCGCCCCGTGTCAGAACCACAAACACTTGATGATATATTGCCAGGGTTTCGTAAGCTAGCCTTGGAAGAACTTCCTTTCTCGTCTTATTTAGGCGAAAAATATTTACGGGGAGGGCGGACGGAATGCTAACGGGGCTCAGATTAGGCTGGCCGGTTTCACGAAAGCGGGCCCTTAAGAGGCGGTCTATTACAAATATTTTATTAGTTCTTACAGGGGATCCTTTGTTGGCACAGATTGCCCTTTTACGCTTAAGGGGCTTAATAACATTAAGGTGACAATGGGTGAGCTTAGTTGCGTAAACAATTTCAACAATTCATTGTGTCGGTTCCATTTTTGTTGCGAATGTAAATTCTGTTTAAATTAAAATTTAAACGAATGACGTCGCTGACAGGATGTTGGCACATTTTATTTTCGTGAATAGATTGTATGTTAAAATTTTCTTTTTAAGGATTATTGCAATGTTTCATGACTTTCTGTGTTAAAAGTAAAGTTAAAAAAAAGTAAAGATAAAACTTATAAATTATGTCCCACAGCTGGGCAAAGGCCTCCTCTGTACAGAGGGTATTAGGGCATAGTCCACTACGTGGCTCCACTGTGGATTAGCGGACTTAGTAGTAAGCCGTATATAATATTCAAATATATATATATAATCGATAATATTCAAATATTACAGAGTTTTGTAAAGATTTAGTCGCACAGTAGTCTTCACTGTTGCACGAATGCTTAGATTCGTCGGGATGAGTACCATTACCTCACGGAAGACCGTCGTGAAGTGGAGTGGTTATACTTCAGCGTTTCGTCTGGTGAGTGAACAACAAACACAAAAGTGAGTTTCAGTGTACCCGGGGCCCACTTTATTAAAAGGTAAATGCTGTGCAAATGTCTATGGGTGACCGTTATCACTTAGTTAGGTGAACTGTCAGCTTGCTTTTCACCTTGTCCCATAAAAAATATCACAATATTTACTAATAGCGGTAGCTCAAATGAACACATTTCATTTATTTATTTACTCTATTTAAAGTCTGGTCAAAGGCTTTACAGTTTCTAGGTTTTTTCTTATTATTTACAACATTTTCTGTATTTTTTTAGTAGACCCAAAATATATTTTATAACAAAAACATTATTTTAAGATGAAAGATTGTGTATATGTATTAAATTTAATCATATCCAAATACACTGACACTAAAACTACGTCAAAACTTTGATTGTGCTCTTGCTTGTAGACTACAGTAAACCGGAAGTTATTAAACATTTCAATAGTTGTAAAGTTTTAGCTTTAGATGATGACATGTGATTAACTTTAACTTTCATTACCGCGTGTCTTGGGTAGATAGCGAACACAGCCCGATGAGAAATACGTAGAATATTATTAACCGAAAACTATATTTTCTCTAATCTCTAATTAAACCTTTATGTACTCCCGCCATTTTTCTCTTTCCATTTATTTTCACTTCTTTTTATTGTTGTAACTTACATTTGTGAGCTAAAAAAAAATCTCAAAATAGCGGAATGTACAACAAGAGGGTGCTCGGTGAAAGAGGCACTTTTTCATTCACCGTGTAGGCTGCTTGACCTACACTCGAGTTGTACATTAAAAATAGGCTCAAGCATGCATAATTTATGACTTGTCAGAACTCCAGCTTTCAACGCTTATTTACATCCAAGCGACAGGTGGTGTCTTAGTATTCAAGTCAGCATCAAATTAGGCTTTTATGACTTTCAAAATGGTTCTTCATCCCTGCTTAGTATAAAACAAAGTCATCCCGCTGTCTGTGTGTCCCTATATATGCTTAGATCTTTAAAACTACACAACGGATTTTGATGTGGTTTTTTTTATTAGATAGAGTGATTCAAGAGGTAGGTTTATATATATAATTCATGCATAATATAGTAGAAAAACACTGATAGTTTCAGAGGTTTCTAATGCGATGTAGAAAACAAAAATTCAGCATTGCACCCGTGCGAAGCCGGACGGGTCGCTAGTATTTAATAATTTACATTATAGGTGTCTACATAGCCAATATAATATCGTTAAAGGTCTAATCATAAATTATATTTGTTTTGGAGATAAATCCTATAGCTTCCAAAACGCATTGACTTAGTGGCTCGCATGATAAAGTAGCCATCTTAAAGTCGCTTGTTCGAATCCCTCTGGTGTGCTCTATCGAGGTATCCACGTTTTGGATACCTCATGTGCAAAACTAACGTCTCGAATTTAGGCCCCAGTACGGCAATACGGTTCACCAACACGTTTGTTATTAAAATAGCGTAGTCAATACCGGAAAGCGCGTAATTCATTAACCAAATACTGTATGTACTATTTCACTTTATCGTCAAGTATTGTGAATTACTCTGTGCCTAAATGTATACGATAATTGGACTCGGTGCAATGCAGCCTTCACTTACCTATCTTTGTCAATTTCAAGGCTTAGATTAGGCTTAGTTAGTTTTTGTAATTTCCATTATAATAGTCGCTTAAGTACTATTAGTCACATGTAGTCGCATGTAGCCATATTTAGAACGAATGCCGTTTTTAACTAAGGGTCCTTAATGGTAGGTCAATGACCGTCCGTCACCCACTGTTATCAATAGTCGTGTAATTCGTTTTTATTCCCAGCGCAAGAGGGTTTCGGTGCAAGACAAAACATCAAGCGGGTTATCACCAAGTTTTGGTTGACTGGTAGAGAATGATACTAGGCATTAAGTCAGGGGGGGGGGGGGGGGGGGGGGGGGGGCAGAGCGGTGCACAAGGGTAGCTTTTACACAAAAATAAAAAAAATGAACTCTTAAAGATTAAGGAAAAGTGAAAAGTAAAGTAACAGTCTGTATATGTCTCACTGTTGGGAAAAGGCCACCTCTGTAGATAGAGTATTTATTTCATAGTGGAGAGTAAGGTTATCTAGTTTAAATATTTTTATGAATCTGTCAAGTTTTTGAATGAGTGACAAAGTATAGGTACGAGGTAGACAGTGGAATGTGAGAGTCGAGATTAAATTAATAGGTTTACCACCTGGAATATTATGTGGTGAGCAAACGGTTCACCTGATGTTAAATGATTCTGCCGCCCATGGATATCTACAAGACCTGAGGGCTTGCAGATCCGTTTACAAACTTTTAAATAAGTAAGCCCCGGCTACCTCACTCACCAGACGAAACGCGAAAGTATCACATTCCCACTTCACGCCAGTCCTCTGTTAGGCCGTGGTACTTCCCCGGACTAGGCTGCCCAAAGTTGTTACGTATATTGTATTTAATAAAATCTGTGCACTATGCGCCATAGCTTATGGCATACACCGCATTAAAACTCCGTCGTCCGGTCGTCACTCAGTGGAAATGTCCCATTATGTCGCAGCCACACGCATTACAGTAACAATTCTTTTACAAGTACCAAAGGATATGACCGAAATTGCCTTTTGAGACGGTTTCTGTTTCATTTCTCTACGTCATTTCATTTGATTTACAGTAGAAAGACCTTCAGCGATCATTGATTCAGCTGTATATCTAATCCTAAGTTATTTCACACAACTTAGTAGTAGTAACCTAAATAAATTATTAGGAAAGTAATTTTTTTAGGAGTTTTCGTTAAATTTCCCATGTCCCCCTGTCTGTAATGTAAGTTCCTAGTTCCCTGTGTCCTGTAGCATACAGGAATGTATATGCACTCTTTTAAGTATTAAGGAAAAGTGAAAAGTAAAGGCCTCCTCTGTACAGAGGGTATCAGTAGGGGAGAGTTAGTTAATATATATATTTTTATAAATTTGTCAGGTTTTTGTTTTTGAAAAAGTGACAAAGTATACCAGGAAAGGAGAAGAAATTAGACATTGAATAGGCTAAAATTTGGCATAATTGGTTCGCGTGACAATACCTAATAATCCGCCATTTTGAATCCAATATGGCGACTGCCGCAAAAAGGCCATTAATGATTTCCCCCTATAATGTGGGTATTTAACTTGGGCACATTACTTGACGATGAAAGCTTACGCATTGCTGTAGGAATCCGTCTGGGGGCACCGATTTGTCAACCACACCAATGCCCTTGTGGTGTCAGTGTAGACAAATTTGGTCTACACGGGCTTTCTTGTCAAAAAAGTGCTGGCCGTTTTTCCCGCCACGGTTCCCTGAACGACATCATCCGTAGGGCTCTTGTTTCCATCAATGTTCCATCTATTTTAGAGCCCTGTGGCATTTTTCGCGACGATGGTTAGAGACCCGACGGTTTAACATTAATCCCTTGGGAGAGAGGCAAAGCCCTTGTTTGGGACGCCACTTGTGTAGACACTTTGGCTGCCTCTCATCTAAGGGGTTCTTCGGTCAGGGCCGGGGCGGCATCGGAGGCAGCTGAAGTAAGTAAATGGCGCAAATATGAGTCTTTATGTTTAGATTATGTATTTGTGCCATTTGCTCTTGAAACATTAGGTCCGTGGGGGGGGGGGGGGGGGGGGGGGGGGGGGGGGGGACCCCACGGATCTAAAAATTTTTTAAAAGTTTATGTCCTAGGCTTAACGCCGCGGCTGGTGACAAGAGAGCTGGTTCTTTTCTCGCTCAAAGGTTAAGCATTACTATTCAGCGAGGAAATGCAGCTAGCGTGTTCTTGGCACCATGCCGCGTGGATTAGGTTTATTAGATGATTTGTAATTTTAGATAGATTTATTCCTGTAAATATTAGATTAATAAAGATTTACTTTGTAAGAATTTTCACTGATTATTTGATTATTCCTTAGATTGACGTGAATAATTCATCTGCATCTCGTGACTTTGACTTAAAGATCGTTTGATAAATAAGTAAACAGAACATAAAAAATTTCTTGTACTTACCCGATTACATATTATAAACGAAACTAATTTTACGGATTTATCGCGTTTATTTTTAATTTTAATTCCCGACGTTTCGAACCCTTTACAGCGTTCATGGTCGACGTCAAAATTAAAATTAAAAATAAACGCGATTAATCCGTAATAATTAGTTTCATTTATAAAACCTCATTTTATAAATTTACTTTACTATTAATTTTATTAAACCCCTGATCTGTCCCACAAAAACCGTTTATTTATTCAAGATATAAAATAGGATGCATCTTTTCGGCTCTCTATTTTAATGTCATCAATATCTAGTCGATTCGTTGTTGCTATTGTTTAAAATTAGCAGTAACGAATGCATTTCGCATTTACATTATTGGCTGAATTGTCTACTTTTAACCAAACCTTTTAGTGCATCAAATTCTTTATAACGATATATATAAATTACTCGTGGGTTCTGGCTAGCCTACGAGTTCTGCATTCGATGAAGCTTTCATAGTTTAGGGACTGAAAGCGAAAACATCAGTTAATAGAATATAGAACAAGAAGCAAAAACGTCAGTCAAAGTAAAATATTATTTTTTTGAAGTTATCCTTCTTTTGGCGTGTTCGTATAAAAATATGAGAGTAAAATCGCGCGCACACCGGTAGCAAAACAGTAACATGATGAAGATGGTTACAAAGCGACCGTTTAATTAAATCGGTATCAATTTAGTACCCGGCACAGGACATAAAAGTTTTAGTTATTTTTATATTTTGTTGTGCTAAAAAAGTATTACTTCTTACGTGCATACATAAGTAGGTACTTAATTTATGTGAGAAGGTGACAAGGGAGCTGGCGGTTCAACTGATGTCAAGTAAAATCCAACGCCCATGGACATTTGTAACACCCGTGGGGTTTCAGATGCAGGGCTAAGGTCCCCCCCGTAATCCCCTGCCTGTCGTAAAAGGCGACTAAAAGGGGACACGGATTAGCTGCTGCAAGATGACGAGGAAGAGTCGGGGAAGGTCTATCCTTCTCCGAGGCGTGCTCACGCGCAGTACCGATAGACACCGGTGCGTTCCGTAGGAGAACCCGGTGTCCCTCCAAACGTACAGAAGGTGGCCATCGAGGGGGGTGACAGGGTATCTTTTGAAGATTTCCCTGTTGCAGATGCGATACCTTATAAAAAAGTGGGCCCCAGTTCCCTCACTCACCAGACGAAACGCAGAAGTGCTTCCATTTTACGAGATTTCCCCCCCCCCCCCCCCCCCAAAAACAACGTTTGCGATGCGTTTCTACCTTATAAAAAAGTGGGCCCCAGTTCCGTCACTCACCAGGAGATACGCAGAAGTATAGTGCTTCCACTTCACGCCAGTGAGGTCGTGGTACTTCCCCAGACGGACCGGGGCATTCGTGCAGCAGCAAAATTTAATGTCCTCTTCTTATTTCAGAATGTGGCTTATGGGTGTTGCCGTAGTGCTGTGCGCAACGCATTTGGCCTGTGCTGAGTGGCGTTGCCCGGAGCTGAGTGCTCGGCCCGCTGCGGAGTGCTCGTGCGATCTGCCGCACACACTTCGCTGTGCCGGAGACCACACTGCTTTACAGGTACAGTCGACAAAGTTCTTTTGTCTTAGGTCGGCCATAAACTTATTTCCACCGTAGGGCCCGAATTAACCGTGCCTTACCAGGAAACTCTAATGGTTTAATTTATACTAATATAATAAAGCTGAAGGGTTTATGTCTTAATTCCTTTTTGAGAACGGCTCCAGAATGGGAATTCGAAAAGGTTCACAAGGAACAGATACATTGTCATATTTATTTATTTATTGATTTGAACTTTATGTGAAGAAATAATTGAGCATGGGTATAATAAATGGTTTTGATGTATATATTTCATTACTACGGGACAGACCGAGAGGTTTGTAAAAAAAATTGAAACCGTTGCGAGGAAAGGTTTTCAACGGCCTCTTCTGGCCATCGCAGTGTAGGAGAACTTCCCATTGGATGGAGTAATGCAAACCTGTGCAAATGTGCGGAAAGTCGATGGATGCAGTTGGCTCAGGCTCGTACTTCGTGGTAGTCTATGGGGGAGGCTTATGTTCGGCAGTGGACTCAAATAGGCTGAAACGATGATGATGATGAAATGAAATTAATTTTGCGGAGATTTTTTTGTGTTTGCTTTTTTTACTATCGACCTTTCAAACCCCTTAAGTGGTCAATTGCCACGGGACAGACTGAGATGTTTTTATTTCAAAATGTCATATCTAGCTAGACCCGGTTACCACCAACATTAAGTTATTTATATATTTCGATCTACGCAGTACAAGTGAATAGTATTGAAGTGTTTGGATTTAATTTAATCAATTATTGGATCCTTAGCTGAGACAGTAAATTGCAACCGAGTTCTCTATTGAAATTAGGATTTTCTATAATTTCAATAGCTTCGTGAATCATCCTCGGAAGGAGTCGAGGCTCTTTGCGAGGATTTTTGTTTTGTCGAATTTTGTTAAAATTATGAGAGAATAAAAAAAAAAGAAAGTAACATCGAAAAATGTAATACAAATTATCAATCTTGGTATATAGGCGCTCGTTTTTAATTTAGACTTAGGCGAGTTCGATGAACCTGAAATCAAATCCCGCCGTCGCCGTCGGCTCCAATGCAGTAGTTGATTGAAATTTTAGATTTACCGTGTACTGAAATTGGGTGAGAATCATCATCTTTAACAATTTTACGAATATATTTCAAAGACACGTAAAAGCTACCAATTCTGCAGTGCGCTTGCGTGAATGAATATGCCCTAACGCATTCCGTATAGTGATGTCTGGCTAGAATTGTCGACATAATGTTTGTTTGTTTTGTTTCTTTTTCTTTATTGAACACACGATATAATAAAGATAATTGGAACAAACGACAAAATGTATCCAATTTTTTTAATTCAATTTTAGGCATAAATAATGTTATATAAAAAAATAATAAATATTTAAAATCACTCGTAAGGAATTAATTACATTCATTTGAACTTAGCTCAAAAAGTGCGTGATTTATACGCAACTCATTTATTTTACGCGTGATCATTCATAACTAACACGCACAGTTCGTGCATACTAAAGTTTATGTATTTATGAATGACTACCGCATTGTCAACACGTTCTGTTTTTTATATTATATTCGGAATCTCGGCTCCAGCGATCGATCAAGCCAGGTTTCATTTTTAGAAAATGTCCTTTTATCCCTGTTTTCAGGGAATGAAAAATATCAGAAGGTTTTCCAGGTACTAAAATTATAAGTGTTAAACACTAAGTATTTCTTGATATTTATAAATAAATATGCATATAAAAAATCACTATATTGTAACATGAAACACCAAATAAACATAAATACGCAAGGTTATAAATAGAATATTTAAATAAATAGATTTGAATAAATATAATTTCGAATTTCTAGCCATAAGCCAGGTATTTGTGATCAAAGTGGCCGTTTCGTCAATAGGCATGAAATTGGCATAATAATCAATATAAATTAACTTATAATTTATTAAACATAAAATATTAAATTAACAATATAAAAAAACATTAACTTTATTAGATTTTTAATGTATTAAGTTTTGTATATTTCTTATATTTTCTTTTTTCACAATTTAACTTGTATTATTATAGTGGGTTTGGATAGCAATTAGGTTCATATTGTTGATACCTTTTTTGGTAAGCATACATGTACAATATTTTTTTAGACGTGTTTATCTGTCTATATTTTTATATGTTTTGCTGTTAGCCTATCTAATAATAAGTGGAAACAAAACAACAAAACTATACATTTAAAAGCGCGGAAAGAAAATGGTAAAGGCCCCACTCTTTTGTTTGCGTATGTTTTTAACAGTTCTCTTACTATACGAGTTATCGTAAATGTTAATTTATCCTGAATATGAAAACCTATTTCTATACTCAAATTTCAATTGGACAAGCGCCCAAATCCAGAACAATCAAATAATGTGAGTTACGCAAATACTTGTCCCGTGTGGAAATCAAAGCCATGACCCACGCTTTAAGCTTGGCAACTGCGCCACCAAGTCATCAGAATACAGTCTTTCTGTATCTTCAAAATAATTACCACGTGCTACGAAAATCTACATATTTATGAGATTATTGAAAGACATAGGTTAAGCTAATTCCGAGACACAATAATGTGCTCTGAATACGTAAGCAGCTAGACACGCAGAAGTATCGAGGGGAAAATCCCATACCATATAAATGGAACCTTAAGAGTGCTTACGTAACTTGCGGTAAATAGGAAAAACAAAAACGAAACAATGCCAATCTCCAATAACAGAAGCGAAGCGTAAAGCAAACAACATTCACTGGACGTGAACGAGAATCGATAGATAGATTCCATTTATTCTTAGATTAGGCGCAAACTCAATAGTCTTGATACTTAGCGAATGCATTGTTTTCTCGCATGAATAATTACTTTAAAAAACTTTTAAGTTAAACGGTTTTATTTTATGTTTTTGTTTTGTTTGTTAAATTTTTTTTTGTTAATATTGTATTGTCATCTAAATTAAATGTGTGTACCAAATTTCAGATCAATCTGACAACGGCAAGGTGCTTAAATTTCAATTTCTAATTTTGACCCAAATAAATAAACAAACAAATTCCGTACGGGTCGAGCTAAATAAAACCGTTTAATAAAAAAGTCAATTATGTTTAAATGTGTCAAATCGATGAAAACGTCAACGAGTTCTCTTTGAATATAGTTTGTAGGTATTTAATAATTAAACACGTAACCTAAATCTTTACATACTAGGAATTTAATTAAGATTTCATGAAAGTAATTAAGTTTTGGATTCCTCATTAAAAGATAATATATATACATAAAATAGTTTATTAGTGTGTTGAATTACTTAATAATTATGAAAAAATTTTAATTAGTTGGTAAAGAATATGGAATATAATTATACATAAATGTGCATGGTATGGAATTTCTATAGGCCGTATAGAGTAATCAAACTACCTTTCTGCCAGGGATGTCTCTTTTCCGTTATCGTAGAGGCACTCTATAAAATCTGACACAATCGCTTGCTTTACAAGCTGCACTCAAGGTGCCAGACAAGCTGATGCCCACTGTTCGAACCTGCCTGTCTTGTCAATTTTTTCGCTATCGATTAGAGTGCGGTCTTTAACACTAGCCGACCCCTACCGGCATGCATTCTACAAGGCCTGCCTCTCCACTGTGCTCTTTTCACTCTACACGTGAACACGGGAACATTCAGCGGGCCTTCCTACTCGGCCTCTTTTTCACTGCCAACGAGCTTCCCCAAGTTCGCTGACCAGAGGCTATGGGAGCCACGAGAGCCAGTGCTAATCAACAGCCAGCTGCCCAGCCTCCAGCGATGGAACTGTTCTATGTTCTTCTCGATCACCATGTTTCTGCCGGGGAGAACGGCCGAACTCTGCCATAACACCACTGCCCCCCGCGACCCCACCACTGCATCAGCGCAATTTGCTTACGACCCACAATGTCATACGCTTGTATGTCATTTGCTCACGAAGGCCTCTTAAACTTGCATACATTTCCGTTAATTCAAAATAAGTTGATCTGCCTCGCAAAAGGTATTTGGTGGTAACAGCGTAACAGGTCCGTATAGCATTTGTAGACTACCGACGTTACTCGAACGGTTCAACGAAAGAGCCAAAAACCATTCAAGCCTCTGGTGCAGTGAATTACGTGATAGGTACTTATCGACCCGGTCGAGGAAAGAGACATAGCTAATTTGGATCTACTAGAGGTCTCGCTAGACAACATTGTACCCACACATAGTGCTAGAAGACTTAACTAATTTGTTTGCCCTTCAAATGCAGCGAAACGATGACAACTCATATGTAAACAAGGTACACAAGCATTCCAGCAAGATTTTAATCGCCCCCATTCCGACCTTCCTTGATTTTGACTATATTACAGTCAACATCCCGGAGTCACGGACAATAACAAACTTTGACGGCCTTTAGGTGGCATTCCTTCCTACTAGTAATGCATTCATGAGCACATGCCAGACCTTACCATTTATGATTGCCAGATACCACGAGGTCTGCTTCAACAAATCTTTAATACTGTACGAACTCAAACAGACACATAATTAAAGGTCCAAAAAGTTTGAAATAGTATTTGAGAGTGTATTTTTAAGGCTTAAATTGTATAAAAAGCTTAAAAACAATTATATCCTTTACATTAATGTTACTGTTATACACTCAGTATAGTTATACAGAGTGAGTCAAATTACAAAGATGATAATTTGGAAATGACAAGGCGAGACAGGAGATAACGACAGCAACGCGTTCTCATTAATTTGATTTGCGCCTTAAGTCAGTTGTTCGGTCGATGGATAGGCTTTTACCATTACCATGCTTCGTTATTTATTAATAATGAATATCTTAATAGAAATTTAATGTAGACATTAGCGAATATTAAGATGGACTTATGGTTCAGTAGAGTGGAACCAGAATATTTGATTTTATGCTCATCGATATATTTAATAGTGATAGTAAACTAGTTAATGATTTTAATGGTACTACACTAATTTGTAAAGTGCAGTAAGCTTTCATACAACTTC